TTTTAAGACCCCAGACACTACTCACCAAGGTAGAATGTAGAGCATTGTCTTTATAAGCTGTGTCAGGTAGCAGTTATTTTTAACGCATTTTCATCTGAGATTCTTTATGAAGTTCTTTTGAGAGGCAGTAAAGTGAAGTGATTCTCTGGAGGGAGACTATCTGGGTTCATCTCCTGGTGCTGCTGTTTGCTAGCTGTGTAACTTCAAGTTAATCACTTACCTTCACTGTCTGTAAAATGGAGCTAGTAATAGTTGCACCTTCTTCATAGGGTTGTTGTGAGGTTTAAATGAGTTAGTGCATATAGAGCCCCTGGTTTGGTGCCAGCCAGATAAGTGTTCAGTATACATTAGCTATTGTCATGAAGATGAAAGTACAGTAAAAACCTGCAAAAGCCGGAACCTGTAAAAGGAGGAAAGTTGTCAGAGAAGGAAAACTCAAATATTTTCCACTAATAGGATAGAAAAGTGGGAAGACTGCATCCTGTCAAAGGCAGAAAACTTGAGAGAATGGGAAAAACAAGGCAGTCCTGTTGAGTTCCAGCTCTCAGAGGTTTCATTGTAATAAAGAATTGAATACCTGCATATCAAATCCTGATTTTTCTCCTGATACAGTCCTACTGTGAATATAGTTTCTTTCCTGTGTTTGCCTTATTTTTAAAATCTGAAAAGTTGAATAGTTCTGGGCTATAATCTAATGAATTTCATGCCAGTACAGTATGTTTCTTAGGATACAGTCTCTTTCCTACTTTTTTTCAGTGTTTGCTTTAAAGTAGATTACTCCTAGACACAAATAATAGACATTTGAGAGAGAATATTTCTATTTGACTTATTCCATAATTAAGTTTCAGTGTATAAAGTAGATGTTAAAATTGACCTGGGTATACAAATTGTCATTCTCTTCTACTTCTTGACCTTATATCTATGATATTAAGGTACAAGAAGCTCTCAGATTGACCGCATTGATACAACTTGTAGCCCCATGAAATCTTGGAGAAAAATTTCCCGAAGTTACTGGCCTTAGCCTGGTTTTTCCTTTACCTTACACAGTTAACTCAGGTGGTTTTCTGGGAAGTAGATCTTCCAAAGAACAGGAGGCTGTTTCCATACTGTTACTGAGGGGCTGCTGCATGGGAAAGGGCTGTCATTTTAATCAGAGTAAGGATGGCAAATTCAATTTGTATTTTTCTTTGAAGTCTTATGGAATTTTCTTATTTTGTAATAAACAGTAGATATTCAGTAAATGTATATCAAATATTAAATATTTAAAAACCGTAAGGACAGAGCTTCTGTTTTTTTTTTCTAAATTTTATTTTGTTGTTGAGAATATACCCAGCAAAACGTATACCAGTTCAACAGTTTCTCCGTGTTCAGTTTAGTGAAATTGATTACATTCTTCAAGTTATGCAGCCATTGTCACTCTTTTCTTCTGGTTGTTCCTCCTTCGTTAACATAACCGTAAGGTTCTTATCTAATCTTTCAAGTTGCTGTTGTCAATTTGATCCCATATAGATAGTTCTTAAAAGAGCATAATGCTCACAGCAGGCCTTTGTTACTAGTTAAACTAAACTATTGTTCAGTTTTAAAATGACTTTGGGATATTTTTGGTTTAAAGATTATCTTGGGGCAGTAGTTTCAGGGGTCCATCCAACCTTCGTGGCTCCAGGAAGCCTGGAGTCCGTGAGAATTTGAAATTCTGTTCTGTGTTTTCCTCCTCTTGGTCAGCATTCTTCTGTGTAATCTTTGATCAGAATAATTCAGTAATGGTAGCTGGGCAAGAGCCTCCATTTTGTAATGTCATGTTTACCCTTTTGGTTGTCACAAGAATGTTGTATCACTAGGTGCAGAGATTGAAAATGAATTGCAGATGATGAAATTTGTGACTGGGGAAATGTTGGACAGGAAGGAAAGGGAAACTGTCAGATACTTTAGTCATCTGTTGAAGGGAAGAAGAGTGTTTGTCCTCTACCTCCCAGTGGTCACTTTGCCTCTTCTGAAAATTTTACGACTAGTTGGGCAGTTTTCTTTTAATATCCTCTAGTTGGGAAAAAAAGACATTAGTTGTGACTGAATTGTTTATAGACCAAGGATTTGCTTTACAGGTGAAAACATTTTAAACTTACAGTAATCTTTAAGTCAGTCTATTTGAGCTTAATACTTAAAAGATCTCTATTACTTGATATTGATCTAGATAAAACTTTGATCTAGAAATTACACGTTTTGCAAATTATTTCTGTCAGTCACATTGCAATACTTTATATTTAATTAAGATAGAATTTCGTTCAGGTCTGGCGATGCAGGGAGGTACTAATATAATAATGGTGGTACATTTGGCTGCACTGTGGACCCAGGGTGCAGCAAATGATTTGGAGAAAGATACATAGCAAATTAGAAGAATGGAAACCAGAAAATACAACTTCTTTATGACTTATTCAGAAAAGTAATTAGAGTTTATGGAGACATTCTGGTATCACATTGAGAGATTGCAGCAAGACCAGTTTGCTGCTTAGGTTATGGTTTTCTGGACTGCCTGGTAGAATCTTGTTGTGTTACCAGGGTCTGGTTCCTGGCTTAATGAGGCTAGAAGCTTGGTTACATCTGTGCTCCTAGATTTAATCAGATTCTGGAAATTGATTTCTACTTATCAGTCTCATAAGAGATTGTTTTATAAACTAGAAGGCTAACTTACTGATAGTATATTAATAAACTTTTTAGAGGCACTGTTTTCCTGATAATGTATTTGGCAAATCAAATAAATTGGAAAATGTTGCTTGATAAGCTGTACTGTAGGAGCAAGGGGAAATGATTTGTGTGGGGAAGCCTCTTTGCATCATGATAGGGAAAACCTCTTCAGTGATTAAATGTTCTTGTCTTCCATTGAGGAGCCCTGGTGGTACAGTGGTTAAGAGCTGCTAACTAAAAGATCAGTGGTTTGAATCCACCGGCTGCTCCTTGGAAACCATATAGGGCAGTTCTGCTCTGTCCTGTAGGTTGCTGTGAGTTGGAATCGACTCAGTGGCATTGGCTTTTGGTTTTGTCTTTCATTGTACCTTTCCTCATCTATGACATTTCTGAATAAACCCTGAAAAATTCTTCCTTTTACACTTCCTTTTTTCCTAGCCCCCTAGAAGCAATGCATCATTCCTGCCAGTCCTGATCACTTTGATTAGATTTTGTGTTACCAAGTCTCCTCAAACTGCTTTTGAGGATAGGTTAGTTTTGCTGGCGATTAATCACATTCAGAGGAGCTCTGGTGTCACAGTGGTTACGTGATCGGCCGCTAACCGAAAGGCCACTAAACCAGCTGCTCCCTGGGAGAAGGAAAGACCTGATGATCTGTTCTCATAAAGATTACAGCCTAGGAAACCCTATGGGGCAGTTCTCCTCTGTCACATGGGGTGGCTATGAATCCAGATCGACTCATTGGCACCTAACAAAAACAGTCTCACTCAGAATGTGCTGATTTTACTAAAACAAAAAACTAGTTGCCGTGGAGTCAGTTCGGACTCCTTGGAGGACTCCATGTGTGTCAGAGTAGAACTGTGCTCCATAGGGTTTTCAGTGATTGGTTTTTCAGAAGTAGATCCTTAAATAGTACTTCATATTTATATTTCTTTTGAGGCACCCCTGGGTGGACTAGAACCTCCAGCCTTTCAGTTAGCAGCCGAGTGCACCACCCAAGGACTCTGCTAATCTTACTAGTTTAAATGTGACCCAACTTTAACTTCATTTCTAACCATTACGACATTCTACCGTTGCCGTCAGAAGAATGTGTGTCAGGTGTTAATAATAAAGCAAAATCAGTAAATTAAAAAAACTTGCACTGTTTACTAACTATAATTATAGCGCTAACTTTAAAGGAATTTAGCTGAAAGAATTTGCAATAAAAGAAAAGTTACTTAATCTTTCTTTTTAGATACTTAAGATTAAACTCTTATCTATTTAAATGTGTTTATTGAAGCGATAGGATGTGTTTGGCTATGTAAACTGATCTAATCTCATCTTTTTATTTAGGTGGTGGAGGTATATGGCCTTCTGGCCTTGGGAATGTCCCTGTGGAATCAACTGGTAGTTCCTGTTCTTTTTATGGTTTTCTGGCTTGTCTTATTTGCTCTTCAGATTTACTCCTATTTCAGTACTCGAGATCAGCCTGCATCACGTGAGAGGCTTCTTTTCCTTTTTCTGACAAGGTGATTAACAAGAATGTATGGTACTATATATAACCATAGAAAGATAAAACTTTGATCTAGGAATAGTACGCTTTGCAAGTCATCTTTATCAGTCACATTGCAATACTTCATATTTAATTAAGATAGGATTTCATTCAGGTCTAGCAGGGCAGGGAGGTATTAATACAATGTGGTACATTTGGCTGCACTGTGGACCCAATGGTATTGTAAATGATTTGGAGAAAGATACATGGCAAATTTTTGGTTTTTTTTAATTGTTGTACTTTAAGTGAAGGTTTATAGTTGAAGTTAGTCTCTCATACAAAAATTTATACATACATTGTTATGTAACCCTAGTTGCTCTCTCTATACTCTGACAGCACACTCCTCCTTTCCACCCAGATTTCCTGTGTCCATTCCACCAGCTCCTGACGCTCTCTGCCTTCTCATCTCACCTCCGGACAGGAGCTGCCCATTTAGTCTCATATATCTACTTGAGCTAAGAACCACACTCTTCACGAGTATCATTTTAGATACATGGAAAATTTTAAAAACTTTCGATTTCAATTATTGGGTTAATTAGATAAAAATACACTGTTAAAAATAACTCATTTATCAAGTATTTCACATGTACCAGGCCCACTACTAAACACTTTGCCTCACACTTTGCTTTACATTTAATCTTTACAACAGCCCTGAGAGGTAGGTGCTGTTATTATCATTACCACTTTATAGTTGAGGAAAATAAATGTACCACAGAGAGTAACGTGCCTCAGGTGACATTGCTAAAGAGGCAGAGCCGAGATTCAAACCTGAGTTCAAAACCTGTGACTTGCTCATATTCTGTCATTGTATGCGTATATTTTTAATTTTTTGCCTCTACTTTGAGAGTCAAGTAATTGCAAACTGAGTATAGCATAGTACTTTACTGTTTGATCTGAAGGAATTCCAAGACTTGCTTTTTAAGGTTTTGTTTCTAAAAATGTCTTATGTCATTTGACTCCTTTTCTTACTTCAGTGTCTTTGTTGTGAGCCTGTGCTAGACTCACGTTTATCGTTTTTTCACTCTGAATTTGAATCTAAAGCCCTCAGAACCTAGCACATGGATATATACCATGGTTCTCTGGCTGACTGTCACTTTAAAAGGCAACAGTGAAAATGTGTCCTCCTTGAAGGTAAATATAGGTGGATAAAAAGTAAAGACCATGGAACTCTAGTTTATACAACCGTTGTTTCTCAGTTATCCAGTATGATGGAGGTTGTACGCTAAGTGGTGTAGGGAATGCAAAGTTTAAGAAAAACGTACTGCCCTTGAGGAGCACATTATTTGTTAAAATTTAAGCCACTGCACAAAGTTAAAAATCAATACAGGAGTTTTGTAACTATGAAGGAGAACTGTGTACAGTAACAGTATAAAAATGTCATGGGGCGATAATCTGTTTTAATTTTAACAAATAAGTAGACTGAATTTATTGGCACTGAGTCAGATTTTTATACTTCTGAAAATTAACACTTAATTGATAAGTAGCTTCTATAAGCATGCAATGAATTGATATCAAAGTTAAACACATTTTAACAGCAATTCACTAAAACTAAGTTTTAGTGATATTTCTATGTAAATAATATGGAGATTTTATGTGGAGTTTTTAAATGATCGAAATAATAATAATAATAACAACTAACCTTAAAGGGAAAGATGCACAGTCCTGTGGTTAGGATAATAACCTAAGTGTGGGACTAGAATCAGTGATGCCTTAAATCAGATTCAGTTATCATCCATTGTAAAGTGCAGACTCTTTACTTTCAATCAAATGAAGGATAACAGTGTGTAATAGGCTTAACAAATCAGTCAGCTGTGAGTGAGTTTGGACTTAGGAATTTACAAAGTAAGAAAGTAATGCCGGGATTTTTAGATGAGGTTTAATTATCTTGCCAAAATACTTTTTCTCTCTACTCCCTTTCTGTACATAGCCAGGACGTGTCTTTTTCCCAAAATGAAAGTGTTTTAATTTATTAACTGAGAAGCTCCCATATTGGTTCGTTTGTCAGTTTCCATCTCGTACGTCTCTTCTCTGATAATTGATGCTTTTGTGGCCTGGGTTATATTTGTGTATTCCCTTGACAAAAAACAACTTATTTACCAAAAGAGGGCTGCAAGTTTACCAGAATATCCTGACTAAACAAACAAAAAAGCACACCCAAACTGAAAAAGAAAAATGAAATTTTTTATAGTGAGAAAATAGAAAGCATAATTAACAAAAATGCCCCAAATTTCCCAAAATCTTTCACTTCCCCAAAGCTAGATTGTTTTAAACCTGTTGTTTCCTCAGGATGCGCTTTTGAAAAGTAACACCACATTCTTCTCTGAAGTTTAAATAAAAAGAATGTGATCCTCTTGAAAATGTAACTAAATCATGCTTTTTGGGTATAAACAGTTTAAATATGGTGACAAGAATTAGAGAAATAGAATGGACTTTTCATAACATATTCAGACTTTGCCAAAGAGAAGGAAGTAAAATTTTAGTATTATTTTAAGCTATGATTCTCATATTTTTCTGCTAGTAGACAAGTTTGTTAAAAATTTTGTGAGAAAATGTCAATTCGGAAGTTAGACTTGTAAGAATGTAATAAAGTAAAAGTATTCATTCTTCTAGTTATCAGCCACCATCATTGATGGTACCTGACAGAAAACAAGACATTTTTTCTCATGATAGTGTACAATGATCTGTGTAAAACTAGATGCTTTCATATAAAAACCAATTTACAAGTGAGTGTATAGGAAGAATAACTAGTAGAAGCACGGAGCTACATAGTAAAGGACAGGCACTGATTTGCCTGCATGAATTCCTCATCTATGCAAATGGAATTCTTATCTGAAATTCTAGAACTTAAAGTACAGCACTTTGAACACTGTAGATTATGTGTAAATGCTAAATCCAGTTTATTCACAATATTACATATATTTATAAAATATATGTTATTTAAAGGCATAGAATGTTTTATTTTAAATGGAACATTTACGTCCACGTTTCTCTCTTTTTTCTAGTATTGCTGAATGCTGCAGTACTCCTTATTCCCTTCTGGGTTTGGTCTTCACAGTTTCTTTTGTTGCTTTGGGTGTTCTGACGCTCTGCAAGTTTTACTTGCAGGGTTATCGGGCTTTCATGAATGATCCTGCCATGAATCGGTAAGTTCTTTAACCTGAAGGAGATGACTAGGAATATAAATTTTATAGGTAAGTTGAAGATGTACCAGTGAATTTTTTTGGTTGATTAATTTTAGGGGAAATGGAATTTTGAGGGGTTTTGATTTTTTTTTTTTTTAAACGAATAAAAATACTATGAAGAAATTGCTGAATTTCCATGTAAAAAAGTATTTTTATTGTATGAACATAATGATGCATGTTGGACACTTTCCTTCCCTAGATTTATTTAAGAGATTTTTTTTATTTTTCCCATATGAAGTTTGTTGTTGTTAGATGCCGTTGAGTTGATTCCGACTCATAGTGCCCCCATGTGACAGAGTAGAACTGCCCCGTAGGGTTTTCTAGGCTATAACTTTTACAGGAAGCAGATGGCCGGATCTTTTTTCCCACGAAATGGCTGGTGGCTTCTATCCACTGACCTTTCAGATAGCAACCAAGTGCTTAACGGTTGCACCACCAGGGCTCCCTTTAAAGTTTGTATAGTCCTGCTAAAATCAAATTTCTATATATTATGCTTCCTTAAAGGCCTTTTTTTTGCACGTTTGAGCATAATTTGAATAGTGACTAAAGTTTCAAAGTTTTGATAAGAATGCAGAACGGTTAGTCTAGTTGTTACTAAATCACTAAGATCATGTATTGGGAAACCCTGTTTCTAGAATTTCTCATGATTTCTGTTTTGTTAATGTAGGTATTTATTGTCTTCGTTTATACAAGTAACTTCTTTAAGTACTTAAATAGATTATTTCAGCATTAATAGATGGTGAGTACCTTGTAAATTGGGAAAACTTTAATATCAGGTTTTTTATGACAGAAAAGAAAAAAAATTAAAAATTGTGACCCACAGTCTCCCTGCCAGTTCCAGCTAATACCTTAAAGTAGGGGGAGAAAAAGGATGAGGGTGGAGAGAGAAAGAAAAATAGTTCATACATAAGTTCAGAAAATTCAAAAAAGTACAAAATGAAAGTGATAACTTCCTCCCCTTCTCAAGGGTGACAACTACTGATTGTTATTTTGAAATTTCTTATAGGGAAAAGTACATATATGTATCTACATACATATGGCTTTTTGTTCAGTTCCACATACTATACACTGTTCTGTATCTTAATTTTTCACTTTATATGTTTTAGAGAGTTTTTTATGTTAGCACATGAAGATACATCTCATTCTTTTTGATGAAGGCATAATATTCCATAGTATGGATTTTTTTTTTTTTTTCTTTTTTTTGCTGTGGTGTCTTTTTGGTACGTCTTTTTCTTTTTCTTATAATTATGAAAATTTCAGTCCAGCGAAGTTGAGAGAATAGTACAATGAACCACCATGTACCCATCACCCATGTACCCATTTGCCATATACTATTACCCATCTCTAACAGTGTCAACTCCTGGCTTGTCTTAAGTCATATATTCCCTGGCCACCTCCACCTACCCCCTGTCCCTTTCCCCCTACCCCTGACTAAAATTATTTGGAGCAAATCCCAGATACAATTTCATTTTATCCATAAACATTTCAGTCTGTAAGTCTTTTAAAAAGCGTAACTGTGATATAATGATCACTCCCAATAAAAGAATTCCTTGACACCACATATTCAGTTGGTATTGAAATTTCCCTGGTTATCTTTTATCTTTTTTTTTTTTAGCCTTCTTTTGGCTCAACTCAAGATTCAAGTAAGGCCTTGTACCTTGCAAGTGGTTGATGTTTCTTAAGTCTCTCTTAATGTTTGGGTCCCCTCTATCAACTTAGTTTTTCCCTTGCGTCTTATTTGTTGGACAACACCAGGTTATTTATCCTACAGAATTTTTCAGTCTCGATTTTGCTCATTGCATCCCTGTGGTGTCATGTAACATGTTCCACTATTCACTGTATTTTCTCATATACCTTAACTTTGGTGGTACATCCATTGAGTAAATTATTACCAGTAAGATTATTGAGTTGAAGGGTATATACGTTTTTAAATTTATTAGCAGATTTTTCTCCAGAAAGGTTGTATCTCTACCTGCACATTACTGTGCCCATTTTCTGTTACATCCTTGTCAGTGCTTGCTGTTGTCAAACTTTGTAGTACTTGCTAGTCTGACAGTAGTTTTTAAAACTCTGCCCACCCTTTGCTCATTTCTCTTATTTGTGAGAGTTCTTTGTAAATCGGCCCAATAGGATAAAAGGTCTTAAGACTTTGTATATGGTATATTTTCCATAGTGAAATACTTTTTTTAATTTGTATTTCTATTTCTCTCCCTTTATGTTTTTTGGGTCTCATGGTCTTCTTGAAGAGACCTTTCCCTCTCTTAAGATTATGAAGACATTCACCCATGATTTTCTCTTGTGTGTCTGATTTTATCTTTTATAATCAGGATATAGTTTAGGGTATAAATGGGTATAATTTAGCGGATCTCTAAGTCTGGCAGAAATTTCTGGCTCATTAGGAATGTCTGGTGGGAAAACCTTTATCTCACAAGTTGCTTTTTTCCCCTGAATATATGTTAAAATAATAGCTATTATGCTTTTGTCCATGTAGTCATATGACGTATCACTATACATATTATTAAATTGATGTGGCTTAGTAATAATATGATGTTAATATACTGATCAGTTCTTTTGAGTCTGAATTAAGTGCGAATAGATTCACAAATGTGTAACAATGTCTAAGCTTTTGGATTATTTTCTCTAGGAATTAAATGAGATTCTGATTATTGTTTTCTCTCTGAAAATGTATGATTTTTTTAGGGGCATGACAGAAGGAGTTACACTCTTAATCCTGGCAGTGCAGACTGGTCTGATAGAACTACAGGTCGTTCATCGGGCGTTCCTCCTCAGTATTATCCTCTTCATTGTGGTAGCTTCTATTCTACAGTCCATGTTAGAGATTGCAGACCCTATTGTTTTGGCGCTGGGAGCATCTAGAGACAAGTAAGACACTCCCTAGAACAAACTTTTGTAATATTATGTACATGAATTTGTTGTCTAAAGATTGAGGGAATGTTTAAAGTCAGAAAATGGATGAATAATTTGTATTAGGTTATTTTAAGAAGTTTAGATTTTTATTTTTTCTGTATGAGATGTTCGACTTGACTTTTCTGAGTCTGTTTTTCTCGCTAGATTCGTATAGCTGAAAGTCACATCAAAGGCCATGTAATTACAAATCAGCTTACTTTTTCTTCAGAGAAATTTAATACTTTCAAAAAGTTTCAAAATTAAGAACATAGAGCATAAAATTCAGTCCAGGAAATGCAACAAATAATATATGTATAATTTTACGCTGGTCAGTGTCACTTAAAGGAGAGAAGGTACTGTGAGAGAAATGTAAATGAAGGAGAGAAAAATAAAGGCTGACAGGCAGTCATAAAGATAGGCATTTATGGAGTATCAGCCTCATCTGATGGCCTTTTAGACAGTTGGAACTGAGGTCATAATGGGAATTTTTGACAGCTTATGGGGCCAGGTGAAATTAATAGCTGGATTCATGTAAGTCTCATGTTAATAGAAATTTTACTAAGGAGTAAAAGCAAAATAATTATTTATTTCTTTAAGATACTATTGGCTTTTTCTTTAGTTTGCACAAAGGAATCGCTTAAAATTTAGTGTCGTTTTTCTTCCCCCTCCCAAGGATTTTATCTATACTCTGATTATTGATTATAGAACTACATGTGCATTTATTGCCTTTTTTGTAGCATTTTATGAGTAAGGGAGCAGACAGTCTTTTAGGAGATAGAATTGTGGTAGCAGATTTTTTTATCATTCTAAATTAGCATTTTAATTATAGTTCATCAGATTCATCTTTGTATCCCTATCTCCTACATTGCCAAGCGTTCTATAAAATTTTCTCAAATGATAGGATGGCTGGAAGAATCTCTTTAAATAAGCTCAAAGTTCTTGGATATGTTTCAGATAATCTTAATAATTAATTGTGCTTTCTTGAGATTTGTTTTTAAGGTTTAAGGTTTCTCAGTAGAACAATTTAAAATGTTAAAATCAATGATTTAGCTCAGTTAAATAGCGATTTAGTAGATCTGAAAATTGGATTGCTTAGACCTAAGTACGGTTAATATTTTGTCATCTCCAACAGTGTTTCTTAGTATTATTAACTTTATTGTAAGAATAATATAACACTATAGAAAGCTGGAAAAGAGGAAAGAAATACATAATTCCAGTACCATAAGAACCAGTGAATCTAGTTCTGGGTTCTCTTCTTACTTCCCTCCCGCCATTGCCTTGATAAAATAACACTATAGAAAGCTGGAAAAGAGGAAAGAAATACATAATTCCAGTACCATAAGAACCAGTGAATCTAGTTCTGGGTTCTCTTCTTACTTCCCTCCCGCCATTGCCTTGATAAAATACTCTTAACAGCTACATGCCAATAATTGTTAAAACAGATGAAGTAGAACTGACTCAAGAAGAATTTAAAAGCTTGTGTAGTTCTTTACCTGTTAAAGAAATTGAAGCAGTTGGTAAACATCTTCACCCAAATTAAATATGACTGAGATGGCATTTGAAAGAACAGATTATCTGAATTTTAAACAAACACTTCCAGAATATTCCCCAACTCATTGTGTGAGTACAGTATAACCTGTATATCAAAATCAGACAAACATTACAAAAAAGATGAATTATACTTTCATTTCACTTACAGCAGGAGTCTTTATGAAGCCATTGCAATATTGGCTCATGAATAAACAACTTGACTAATGGACTAGAGACCCCCTTAACAGACCCAGATATGTGTGGAGCTTTGGTGTATATTAGAAGTGGCATGTTAGATGAGCGGGGATAGGCAGTACTGTTCTATAATGAAACTAGAGAAAAACGGTTTTCCATGTGGAAAAGGATGGAATGGATTCCTTTCTCACACCATAAACAAAAGAATCAACTTCATGTCATGGGCTTAAATGTCAAAAACAAAATATTAAAATTATATAGACTAGTATAATTTGGACCTTGGAGTAGGAAAACATTTTTTAAACTATGAAAGAAAAGATTGATAAATTTGCCTATGAAAATTAATATTTTTTAAATCTAAAGATAATTTAAATAAATTGGAATGACAGTTTATTTCAGTAAGATACTCATAGCATGCACAATTAACCGAGAATTAGTATCAAGAATATATAAACAACTACAACTCAGTGAGAGAAATAGACAAAAAGATACGATCAGGCATTTAACAAAAGAGGAAATGCTTATCAGTATGAAGAGAGTTCAGCATCTTTAGTGATCAGGGAAATGTAAATCAAGAAAGACCACAGTGAGATATTACTTTATACTTATCAGACTGGCAGTGAATAAATAAGTAGAAAGAAAGGCAGGTGGGGAGAGAGTGTGAGCATGTTTGTGCACACATGAGCAAAAGAACAGTATGCCAGTACCAAGAGTGAGAGATATGGATCCATGTTGCAAGTAGGAGTGTAAGCTGGTACCATCACTTTGGAAAACACTTTGCCATTACCTCCTCCTTGGACACTCTTACACATGTATAGTAAGAGACATGTAGAAGAATGTTCACAGCATGATCCACAATAGCAAAAACCTGAGAACAACCCAAATGCCAGTCAAACAGGAGAGTGGGTGACTGGAACATAGTAGCAGTCACAGTGGAATGTTAAAAATGCAGTGACAAATAACAGTATGGATGATTCCTAGCAATATAAAGAAAAAGTAAATCCAAAAAGATTACAGTATTGTTGTTGGGTGCCATCAAGTCGATTCCGACTCATAGCAACACTACAGGACAGAGTAGAACTGCCCCATAGGATTTCCAAGGAGCGGCTGGTGGATTTGAACTGCCAAAATTTTGTTATTAACCTTTTTATGTTAAAAACAAAATTTTAAAATATGCTCTTTAGGAATACATATAGATTCAACAGAACTGTCAAAAGAAAAGAAAGAAGAGGATGAAGAGCACAGGATTCAAGATGATAGTTTCTCTGAGTGGAGGGAGGCCTGCCATATGGTTAGATGGAGGTAGTTTTCCAAGCCCTAGACTTTGTTTGGGGAGGTGGGTTCATGAATGCTTATGACGTTATTTGAAATAACTAATTAGGTTACTAATTACATAAATGGAGACCTATGCCCAGACCAATGGTAATAGTGTGTTATGAAGCATGGATATGATTATTTCAGTTCAGTCCACTGGCGATTAAAAAAGGAACCAAAAAAGATGTTACTTCTCAGAGGAACAATTAAGAGATAATATTGATAGCTCATGAAACACTGCTTCTGTTGGCTGGAAATAATTTTTTTGGGGGAAAATCTTTATAACTGTATCTTCAGAGTTGATCAGATTATAATTTGAAGTGTTTAGCTTAAAAAGATGTCTAAGACAGTTTTAACCACAGAGACAATCTCTACTTTTATCTATGATTTTATTGCAGTTTTTAACAAGGAATTTTGGGATTGTAGTTGATTTACTCTTAATTGTATAACAAGTTCTTATATGGCCAACTGTCAAGAAACAGGTTTAGGTGAATGTGAAAAAACTTCTTTCATTTTATAATGCTTAACCTATTAATCAAACAAGGATTTAGTGTCATTTTCCTCTATCTATATTTAATTTTAAATTTAATTTTTGTTACTTATTTAAGGACAAATATATTTTTGTTTGTATAGGTGTTTATAAATATGCACAAACCTGTATCGAAATTAGACATATAATATAAATGTATTTTTTGGAAACTCTAATCATAAATTTAAAAGTCTTGACATAACATTTGTATAAACGGCGACACAGTGTCAGACCTCTCCGTCTAACTTCACGAGGGGAGAGATTCACGGTCAACATCAGCCTAAGGTTGACTCCTATGAGGTGGAGGTCAAACACACCTCCTTTCTCCAACCTTTTACCAATTCTGACATTAGCCATCTCTCTCATGGCAGTCTCTATTTCTCTTCTGGATTTGATAATTAATTGCAATGACCACACAAAACTCACAGACCATACTCACAGTTATGAGGTTTATTAGGGAACTACCAGGTTACAACTCGGGATCAGGATTAGGAAGCATGTAGGCAAGTCTCCCTTCTTCAGTGCAGGAAAGCCCTCTCAGCTCCTCTCAGCCCCTTGAGGACAGACTCCTCTCAGCCCCCTCAGGACAGGCCTCCTCTTAGTCTGGCCCCTGCCCTGTTCAGGCAAGTGCTACAAAGCTCTGCTAGCTCTGCCAGTAAGTGCCTCGTGGCACCCCACTCTTACTGTCAAGCCTCCTGTCCAAGGCTCTCAGATCTCTTGCTCTGTGGATCAGCAAGCCTGGCTCTTCCAGCAAGTGCCTGGAGGCATCCCACTCCACCAGCAAGCTTCCTGCCCAAAGGCAGTCAGCTGTAGCTCCGTGGGCCCACTGTAGCTGCCCTGTTCTGTGGGCCGGGAAGTCCACCGTGCTATCTCACGCCAGTCTCCTGGTTCTGCTGCTGCCATTTTCTTGCCGTCTTGTGCCTTCTCTGGTGTTGCAGCTCTCTCTGTATCCTGAGTCTAAGATGTTCTCAGCTCAGGGATCCCAGGTCCAAAGGACATGCTCCATTCCTTGCTCTTCTTGGTAGTGGTGCTGTGCACCCCTACTCTGGGGTTGGCTCTCTTTTTATGCCTTAGCGGGATGGCAAAAGTGACCAATCCCCTTATTAGGGTTCCATATGCCTTATTTCCATGGTCCCACCCCCACAAGGGTTCCATGTACCTTATTTGCATTATTAGCAAGCTGTCCAGTCCCCTTGATGGGCCACAAGCACCTTATTTTCATAGTCCCACCCAGTTGTTTTTTTAGGAGTCACAGGACCATGCATGGCTAGAAGGACCATATTAAGTCATTCACTGCACTGCAGCATTGTTTATATTTTTCTCTATATATGTACACATGTGTATATATATGTAATATATACATACTTTATATAAATGAGTCATAACCAACTTTTGAAAAGTACGTTTAAAAGTTTTACAGCAAATAGCCCCATTAAAGAAAATCACCTGTAATTCACCATCTAACAGTACAACTACTGTTACAGTAATTCCTGCCTGCCTCCCTTTCTTTAAAAAGATGAAGCTGTTTGTTTTGAATCTCAAAGCAGAGCTGTGACAGTTTTATGTTTGTCCTGTAACTTTTTGATAGTAGAAATGCCTGGCAAGAAAAAATATAAAACAGTTTGCAAAGTATTTAGCTTTAATTTTTACCATAATTCACTTTCTTCTCTGGAGTACTAATTACAGATAGGACTACACAGTATAGCATTTAGCTTTGTGGCTAATTTTTTACTCTCTACCAGATTATAATTAAAAGTAGGAAAGATGATTTCTGTAACTTCTGTATCTTCTTGAGACATTTTGCATGGATTTGAGAACATATCAAGGATGCTGATATTTAATTAAAACTATTTAATTTTGTTGTAGTCATGAGTTTTAAACTATTTTGGTTGAAATCCACATTTCCCGATAATGGTTTTAAATAATTTGCAGTCATGTTTTGTATGAAATCATTAAATTTAAGTCTTAATACTCTTTACATAGATTATAATTGAGTTCCGTTTTTAAGAGGGGGAAAGCTATTTTTTGGTCATGCTGGTTTCTTTTTCAGTTTGTGACCATTATATTAAAAAATTACTACAATAATGGCTCTCATATACTGAAGAAATGGAAGTATCTTTTTTTTAACTCTTGTGGAAGTAATAAGGTCTTCTGTTGTCCGTTTCCTTATAAATGGAGTATATAAAATAAGTAATTTTATGAGTAAACTCTTAGGGAGGAAAAAAAAACACTTTTTATATTGCACAGAAAGATTTTTCAAAGTTCTGCTTAAGGTACTTGTTGGGAAGGGCGTTTATGTACTTTTAGAAATTAGTGTGTAATATGTCTTAAATTGGGATATATTTAAGGAATGATCCATTAGAATTTTACAACGTATGAAGAAGTAGGCACATTAAAAAAAATTGTGTTCCAGGGGCCAGACCTCTTACCTGTATCCTGAACCATTGGACAGTTCCCTTTTCGCCACAGCTAAGGGCTTCTCCTGCATTTATATTTCACTCTTGGCAACAAAGTAGGATTTGAGTGGGATCAGAATGTTAATCTAAGTCTAACAAATCTCTTGATTGGTTGCATGCTTTAAAAACATAGTATACGTAAAAGTGTACCCCTGGGAAATAACCATGATAACTTCATAGGAATTTGTGTATGGGTGGATGAGTGGGTAGGTAAGAAAAGGTAATAATAGAAAATAATTTGAAAAATACCAAGTAGAAACAAATGTTCAGGTTTTGTACTTACTAGGAGCTGTGGGGCATAAGAAGAAGTTCCTTTTTTCATGGAATTTAAATTTGGGGAATAAGACATGCATATAAAATAATTGAAATAATATGCAATTTAGTGTATGATTTGTACAGTTGCTAAGTGTCTGAGATGGCAGGTGGTTGTTGGAGGAATATGTATTTGTTTAGCTTGAGGTAGCCTAAAGGATTTAGAGAAACAGCGGGATGGAGGCATTTCTGATGCATGCAAGCATACTTGTGTTTTGCTAGGAGGACAGTTAATTGATCAGTTTGGCTTATAGTGAGGAACAGGTGTTGACAAGTTTGGAATGATAAGTTGGAGCCAGAATGTGGAGGGTCTTGAATGCCAGGCGAGGACATTAGAGAAGGTGTTGACAATATTATGAAATCAGGACTTCAGGAAGATTAATCTGTCTGACAGTGTTCTGACAGTGTTCAGGATAGATCAAGTGCTAGAAGGAGGAAGACTAGCTAATAGATCTTACAGTGCAGTGCTTCTTGGCTCCCCGCCCCCACCATCTCAACAGATGTGAGGATTCGTTTACCTGCTCATCAGAGAGCCATTTGTGTCAATGGCACTGCATCACTGCAGAGATTCTCCTCGTGGGGTGAAGCTGGTGGGGAGAGGATGTCATATAACTTGAAAAAGACCACAGATTATTCTGATACCCTCTCCCTGTGCTAACTGGGAAAGTTACTATTAGAATTGTTGACATTTAAGGCTATAAACACCAGAAGTAGTTTGAAACCAGTAGGAATGGGAATGGAATTGCAAGCAAACTATTGAGAAAGAAAGGATTGATGCTGCCTTGGCAATTGACTGGGGTGTGGAGCACAGGAAAAGGAGTGAGCCGAGTAACTGCAGTGCCAAGGCTTGTGACTTGCTGTGAGGTCCGGACAGTGACTGGCCTGGAGAAGGTGCTCAGGAAAATGAGAAATTTAGTTATGGCATAAGAACTATTAGTTGCTGATGTAATTGTTGTGCTATTAGATGGCAGACACTTTAAAAGAATAATTTTTCTCTTTCTCCAGGAGTTTATGGAAACACTTCCGTGCTGTGAGCCTTTGTTTATTTTTACTGGTTTTCCCTGCTTACATGGCTTATATGATTTGCCAGTTTTTCCACATGGATTTTTGGCTTCTTATCATTATCTCCAGCAGCATCCTCACCTCTCTTCAGGTAAGCCTAGGATGAATTAAAGTTTCCATAGTATCTGATTTCTTATTTTTCCTTCTAGAAAAAGAATCTTTTTCAAAATTAATGTTATAGGTGATTGATTCAGATGATTTACTTCCCCACCCTTTTTGCTAGTGCACATTACATTTATTTGAGCATAAGTGTTAGAAGACAGGTTATTAAAATTCTGGATCTGTGTGTTGCTGTATTATTTTATCAGGTTAATTAAGCTTTTCAGTTTCTCTTTTTCAAAATATGCAAAGCTGTCATGCACATCTTAAGAAATCATAAAATGTTAAAAGACCTTAGAGCCCGTTCTCCAGTGCATTAATGTTTTTATTAAATACCCATGCGGAAAAGATTAGTATAATGTATATAAATATATGTATACATATAAATATATGTCTGTCTATACAGAAAGGAGCCCTGGTAGCACAGTGGTTCAAGCACTCAGCTGCTAACCAGAAGGTTGGCAGTTGGAACCCGCCAGCCACTCCATGGGAGAAAGATGTGGCAGTCTGCTTCCTTAAAGAGTTACAGCCTTGGAAACCCTATGGGGCAATTCTACTCTGTCCTGTCGGGTTGCTATGAGTCGGCATCGACTCAACGGCGATGGGTTTGGTTTGGTGTTTTTGTTTTGTTTTGTTTTTGGTGTAATACAGACTGACATACATGATATATACTTCACATACACACACATCATATTGCCCTAGAAATGATAAACTTATTGTAATATGTTTAAACTTATTGTAACTTAAAGGTAGATCTTTGCTGCCTGATCAGTAAGAGATAAAAGAAAATGTAGCACTGGCAGTAAAGATTTATTTAATGTTCCTTGTAGACGTAAAGATACTTTGAGAGTTAAGGAATAGGAAGGACCACGGAATTAGGAAAATTGAGATAGAGTTGATGGGTTTTACTTACCTGGGGAATAAGAGGAAAGAAAAGATGAATCAGAAAACTGATTGCTAATCAGAGTCCTAACTTTTAGGAAAGTTGTGTCCTAAGGCATGGCTTTTAGGGATCTAATACCTGGATTATTAAATCATCCACATTTTAATTATCAGTGTTTTCTCTTTAGATATTAAATATGGCATTCTAACGGTATTAGGAACGTGTTTAAAATCTATGAAAAAACTTCCTTAGTGGTCATATTCTGTTTTAATATACATACTTTTTTTTTTCAGGTTCTGGGAACGCTTTTTATTTATGTCTTATTTATGGTTGAGGAATTCAGAAAAGAACCTGTGGAAAACATGGACGATGTCATCTACTATGTGAATGGCACTTACCGCCTGCTGGAGTTTCTTGTGGCCCTCTGTGTGGTGGCCTATGGAGTCTCAGAGACTGTCTTTGGAGAATGGACAGTGATGGGGTCAATGATCATCTTCATCCATTCCTACTATAACGTGTGGCTCCGGGCCCAACTAGGATGGAAGAGTTTTCTTCTCCGCAGAGATGCTGTGAATAAGATCAAATCATTACCGGTTGCTACAAAAGAGCAGCTTGAAAAACACAATGATATTTGTGCCATCTGTTATCAGGTAACTTGCAGAATAAGTATCTGCTTGGGTGGGGACATACAGCATATCCCTTGGTACTTTAACCATGTTAACCAGATTCAACTTAATTTTTAAAAAAAATAGGCCTTAAAAAATTACAGACCTGAGAAGATACTTCCATTTTATTTCTAAATTAAGCTTTTAATCTGATCTTTCAAGTTCTAATTTACTGTTATTATTTTCAACATTACCGCTCACCCATAAATAAAGGAAAAACAGGTCAGGTGTATTTTATATTTACTCCTGATTATACTCACACACATATATACTATCAAATATATACTATCAATCAGGAGTCGGTAACTTCTGAAAAGTGGTGTGCCAAGATTGTGCCTCGTTTCCTTTTAGTATTCCCAGGGTGGGGAAGAAGCGTTCACGTACCTAATGTAGGTGGAGAGACTACGTGCTTACCTGTGGGTTGCTGGATTTCTGAGATAGGTGCCAGCCTTCGTGTGTTGACTGGGAGGAGAGGTATGGTACAGGCAGCCAACTGGTGTACCATTGAAGTTGTTCTACCCACTGTCTTTGGCACATGTGCCATAAGTAGCTGATGATTGCCTTTAATATGAAAATTAAAGGTAGCATTTAAGTCAGCATTTAAGTCACCTGTGCAGAGAGGGTGGTTGAGCAGCAGCTTCTACACCTAAACTATACCTCTGCTATTGGAAATGCAGCCAGAAATTTTGAGCAACAGCAGAAACTATATTCCATTTATTTCACTTGTAAAGAGTGTGGGCTGGTGGAATGAAATGGTAGATAGTGTCAGTGAGTATACGGGGAGTGCTCATTTCTCCAAGGCTGCTTTTAAGGAGGGTATGTATGTATTGGTGTGTGTTTAAACTACCTAGAAACGTCTAATAGCAACATGTAACTACCATTTTTTTATTGTTACTAGAACAGAACATACTTTTAGGTATAGCAAAAAAAAAATGTTTTGCAGGGTCTGTTTTTGGGAGGCTGAGGAATGATGTAGGTCTCCCCCCACTCACCCCCAAATTAAGTAGTCATTCTCTTAGTTCTTTTTTTGTTTTATTAATGTGAACTGTAGCTTCTTTATGCTAGGCAGCCTCATTGTACTCAGGACAAAGCACGTGAAAAGCAGAGTCAGGCATATCAGCTTCAGAAGCTGAAGATACTCTGAGGCTGTAATTACACTGGTGCCATCCCATGGAGACCCAGGGAACATACTGCTCCAGTTGTGTGACATTGAGTTTCATACAGAAGCTGATGTCTAAGTACTCCATCTCTGGGATTCAGGAGTTCTCTTTTTGTATTTCCTGTTGTCACATCACTTTTTTGAGGTGCTGGAACTACCTGCTAATGTCACGTAGAAAATGAGAGTACAGTTGCTTACTTCCCCGCTGGCTGCTTTCCCTTGGATGGCTTTCTGCTTAAGAGTTCATTTCCAGGTGTTGCCAGTTCTTGGCAAGGAAGTTCTGGAATAGCCACAACTCCTTGTTTTGGGACTGAAAACAAAGTTAATGGTTGATTACGGATATGTATATTTTTACAACCTTAAATTCATGCTCTCAGCTTTCCTTCTCTGAGGAATATTAATGCAAAGTATACCACTCTATTCCAGTGGTTATCCAACTTGAGTGTGCATAAAATTCATGTGGGTGGTTTGTTTTAACCTTAGATTCTGTTCCGCAGGTCTGGAGTGGTCCAAGAATATGCATTGTTAATAAGCACTCCGGGTGATGGTAACGCGGGGTGAGAAACACTGGCTTAAACCGACCAGACCTTGAAACCTGGATGTACATTGGCCGTAATGAAATTGCCACTTCCTTGCCAATACCCTGGTGTTATGTGGCCGTTCTGATTTTGTCTCCTTGTAAATAATGTCATCATAGAGTAATCTGTTCAGTTGTGTTTAAGTATAACTGTGAAAAAAGTCCCGTCTTCATGGGATATTCTGAGGTCATAGTTACCCTGGTGTCATCCCCGTGAAGACCCAGTAAACATCCTGTGCCAATTGTGTAACCTTGAGTTGCACACTAAGACAGGGCTCAGTTAAGAAGGTAGTTTCTTCCTCTTTTTTGGTTTTTACTTCTGTTTTTAAATTGCTTAGCCAGTGGTTCTTGTGTTATTTGTATTACGGTATCTCTGATGGCAAAGATCTGTGTCACAAGTTTCCTATTATGGGAAGGAAATATTGGAAATAGAACATTTGGGGTAGCACCAAAATTTTTAGATAATAGACATTTAGGAGGTATCTTTTTTTCTTTCTTTTTTAGGACATGAAATCTGCTGTGATCACACCTTGCAGTCATTTCTTCCATGCAGGCTGTCTTAAGAAATGGCTGTATGTCCAGGAGACCTGCCCTCTGTGCCACTGCCAGCTTAAGAACTCCTCCCAGCTTCCAGGATTAGGAACTGAGCCAGTTCCACAGCCTAATGCTGGAGCTGAGCAAAACATTGTGCATCAGGAAGGTACTGAACCCCCAGATCAGGAGCGTCCTGAAGGGACCAGGATACAGGAAGGTCCTAGTGACAATAACGAGTGCTTTGCCAGAGCAGATAGCCAGGAGGGGACTTTTGATCCCAAGGAATATCCTCTCAGTACAAAAGATGAAGCATGTCTTCTTCCGGTCAGCCTAGAAGAAAAGAAGCAGGAGTAAAGCTGTGGTATTCTGGAGGAGGCATTAACTCAAGATGGAATTTGTGCTCAGATTTGAGGAATACATGAGGTGATCAGGCAGGAAACTGACATTCCAAGGATCTGATCCCGAAAGCGGTCTCAGTGGAGACCGTTTGCTTTCATCCGCTTGACACTGTGGGAGAAATTTCACATTGTATGCTAATCAAAATGTATTTACATATTCTATGCTGATGTTTAGTAGAGGTTTGCCAAGAAAATTCAGCCTCAACAACTTCAGGAACTGCCCCTGATTTGTAAGGAATAAATCAGACTGGAGTGTTTGGAAGGGGCTAAGGAAAGACGGATAAAGAGCGTGAGGACAGAATGTGAAGAAGCAGGCAGAAGTGGAACAGACATTTCACTTTCTATGGGACAGGATCATTCTTGTTATAAAGTATGAGTAGTTACCAGCCCTTTTCTCCACCCCTTTTTCCCTTAATCAGAACTCAGCCAGGTGATTTTGAGTTTTGTACAGCACTGAAATGAAATCAAAGATGTAAAGGCATTGATTGTATTCAAAGATTGAAGCACGCTCATACTTCGGATGTGCTTTAGGGGCGGGGGCGGGTGGGCACTTGGGCCTTGCGGGTGCATTCATGTAATCTGAGACTCTTGAACTTTATGATGGAGTCTTCAATATTTTGATGTATATGAAACTTTTGTTAATATGTTGTATACCGCTTTGGCTGCGTGAAGTAAACTAAAACTCTGATGAACACTTTGGAGTCTACTATAGTGTAGGAGACCAAAGTGGGAAGGGCTTTAGGGCACTGATAAAGGCCCTAGGTATACTTTTCAATCCTGTGTAATGTTTAATTCTTGCAACTGAATCAAAACAGTGTTAAATTATGGCAATATTTGCACTTTGGGAATGAGTACACAACTGTATGATCACACTCTGCAAATGCCACTTTTAAAGCTGTTAATAGACTTTGCACCTTTTCTTTGACAAGGATATGTCATATTTAAATTTTTACATTCATCGTGGCTACAGGTAGAACTGGGGAGGGGGGAATGTAATTTTTTATGGGAATTTTGATATGAAAAGAAACTAGTCATTTATTTATACAATAGGCTTGGCTCAAAAAGTGTTTTTCAGACTTGGTATTCCTAATGTGGGATGTGACTTTATTTTTAGTAGCAAGTTTGGATGTAGACTGACAGACATAGCTGAATGTCTTAATAAATTTAAATTTGAAGATAACACTGATTTGCTCCTGTGATTCTTGTTGTTAAGTGTTTTGGTGAAATGCTGTTCTTAGGAGGTTCAGTCCTTATCCAGCTGGGTTTCTTACACATTGATCCCTGTCAGATATACCCAGCAGATGACAGGACTCTTTGGTTGAAAAGGACTGATCCGTGTTCTACACAGGGCTTCGAATCGTTTTTTTCCGGTTGAAACCCCTGCTGAGAATTTGCATTTCCACCCCAGATATACCAAATATATATATATATATATATATACAAATCTATATTTTAACAAGGTCCCCAGGTGATTCTTACGTATATCAGTTTGAAGCCATGGTTCTGTATCGGTGGTATCACACCTAGCTCTGCATCAGAAGCATCAGAGGAGATTTTAAGTAATTAACACATTTCTGAACCCTACTTCAGACCTATTGACAGCCTTTGTGGCTGTCTGGGATTGTACATTTCAGAACTTCCCAGATGGTTCTATCCAGCTAGCCTGGCACCAGTATGATTTCACGTTTAGAAAAGAAGTGGCTAGACCAGAATTAATTACTCCCCAGGTGTAGCTAGTTTCTTACCACCTTTTCGGGGATCTGTGCAAGGAAGAAAGGCAGAAAAAAGAGCGGCTAGCTCCCTCTAGTGGTAATAAAGCAGTTGTCCAAAGACTTCGTATGGATTTCTGATTTAAAATGGTGATTTTTCAGCCTTTGTGTAAAAGGTGCACTTTCAGATATTAAAACTTCTTGGTGCCGTTTTTGAAGGACCAAAGCTGCAATCATTTATGACATGGTTAGCTTGGTTGTCCTTTAGCACTCAGTCCATTTGAGATATCATTTACTCCTCTGACCAAAGGGTTCCCATATAGTCATAAGGAAAAGTAATCAGGTATTTTAATAAAAGGAGAGACTCTTTGGCATCAGTAACACATTATACTTTTTTCCTTCTGATGGCACGTAGACACCAGTTCCACAACAAGTCGCATGAGCCTCTTGGCTCCGCAGCCTGTTGGACAAAATATCACTGAGTATCTGTTTGCTTCATTCAGGAGAGCTAGGTTATATTGTAGTAACAAAAACCCTCAAAATCTGCGACTTTAAAACAACAAAGATTTCTGTCTCACACTGTATACATGTCCATTTGCCAGCTGGCA